ACAAAAACAAAAAAGTTTTAATTATTAATAATTTATACAAAAGAAATGAACAGAAAAAAAATCAGCAGGAAAATAATAATTAAATGGAGAAGGAGAATAAGAAATTAATTAGGCCTAAATAGTGTAAATTAAGGGTTAATAAGGGGTTAACAGAGGGAGAAAAAACTTTTTTTTTTTTTACAAATTGGTTTTAATTGACATCTCCAGATTGAAGTTCATGCCAAGATGGCACACAGGCGCATTTATGGTGACACGAGAGGGAAGCCTGGTACACCTCCTACACATCAGCAAACCTGACCGGAGGTTGTGGCTGGCTAAACAGGAGGTAGTGCTGCTGGTTCTTTCCCACCTCATACCCACTCCGCACATCTTTGTTCCCACCCGCCATCGTTCCGACCCACCTCTGATTCTGTCCAGCTCACTTTGAATGCCTGCACGGATGCCGTGCCTGGGTCGGTAACCTCCTCCTCTCATCCTGGGACCTCTGTCCTCAGCCCTGTTGACCCCATCCTATGCCCTGCTGATCCTAGTATTATGCCCTGCTGACACCAGTCCTATGCCCTGCTGACCCCAGTCCTAGGTCCTGCTGACCCTGTATTCTGCTGTGCTGACTCCATCCTCTGCCCTGCTGAGCCCATCCTCTGTCCTGCTAAGCCATATATTTTCCCTACTGACTCCATCCTCTGCCCTACTGACCCCTTTTTTCTGCCCCGTTGACCACACCTTATGCCCTGTTGACCACACCCAAGTCCTGCTTACCCCAGGCTTATGCCCTGCTGACCCCAGTCCTATGCTCTGTTGGGTTTATATGAAGTGTGAAGGTACAGAAATTGGGCTGATCTGAGGTATGAAGGTGCAAAGCTCAATATTAATTTCTTACTATTATTTAAGTCATTTACAGCATTTTCTTTATAAAAATGTATTTTCGTGATTGAGTGTGAAGTTGACTTATTTTTATGTAGCTGGCGCTCTCAAACATTTTTTCGGCACACTATGCTCAAAAGGTTGCCTACCCCTGCTGTAGATGAATAAAGATACAAAATGAAACAATATTACTTTTTATTGTTCAGTTTTAGCAACTGAGCAATGTTGTTGATAAAAATTGTCAGGCTGATTTTTGCCAGTCTCAATTGCTGGGATGTTTCTTTTTTTTTTAATTGCCAGGACCCCGATGACAGCTGAATGAGTCATCAGTTGTTAAGAACATGGCAGCACCGCTCCTTAACAACTGGTAATTGCTGGATTTTTTTTTTCCGCTGACAGCTGAAAAAAATCAAGCCTGAAGTTATCAGTTTCAGGTATTGGGACATTTGCATGAGCACTGATACTCATGCAAATGCTTAGTATCAGCACTGATACAGGTATCGGTGCAACCCTAACAAGATGATGACACATGTTAAAGTCACAGGAACACTCTCTTTTTAGGGAAAACTTACTGAAAAAGCACTGCAAAAATTTCTAGTTTGCTGTATATTTTGTTGTAATGTTTACTTTTGGAAGGATTAGTAAATATCAAGCTGGAGAGTGGGTGTGGCTTAACCACTTGTCGCCCGGCCTATGGTCAAATGGCGGTCGGGCGAACACTTCGTCCCTCTGGGAGGACACCATATGGCATCCTTCCCGGGTCGCGCTTTGCACGTGCCCGCAGGGCAGCGCTGTGGCGAGATCTGTCATCGCCCGTGTACCTCTGACACGGCCGATGACAGATCTGTGTATCAGCCCCCATTGCCAGTACCATGTGACCTGCTGTGACCAATCACAGCAGGTCACATGATATTTGTATACAATGGATGGCTTCCTTTCATGCCATCCACAATATACAAGTGTGTCTAGCTGTGAATGGTCACAGCGATCACATGCACAGGCTGGGCCAATGACAGCCCATCTGTGTCATGTGATTAGCCGTAGCCAATCACAGCTAATCACAACAAAAAAAACCTGAATGAATCTATTTCATTCAGTTTAATGCTTGCTTAAAGAATTTCTTTGCTATAATCAATGAAATTGTGTAAAAAAAAAACAAAAAAAAAACACTGATCACTTCCCCAAAGTAGTACAATGTTACTATGGTAACATTGTACTACTTTGGTCGTAGTGCAATATGAAAAAAAATCTTAAAAAAAAGAGAAAAAATACAAAATAATAATAAAAAAAATTAAAATAAAATTGTCTTTTTTTTTTTTTTCGTACTGTCACCAGTCAGTGTCCCTGATCACCACCACACCAGTTATATGCTGATGCTGTACTGCACTGGTGACAGTATGTACAAAAACAATTGTGAACATTTTTTTTTAATTTCTTAATTTTCCAAAAAATTATTACAAAAAAATTACAAATTCAAAAAACTTGCCATGCCTCTTATGAAATACATTGGACTGGCTACTTTGCAAAAAGGGGTTATTTGGGGGATATCTGTACTGTTCTGACATTTCTGGGCCTCAAGAAATTAGATTGGCTGTCAGTACTTCAGGACTGGTCAATTTTCAGATATATCCCATAGTTTGTGAACTCTATAACTTTCCTACAGATTAAATAATAAACACTGATTTGGGTTATTTTCACCAAAGAAATGTAGCAGAATACATCTTGGCCTAAATTTATGAAGAACAATTATTTCTTTGCAAACTTTTATAACAGTAACAAAGAAAATCGTGGGTTGTTTTCAAAATTTTCTTGTTAATTTACCAAAAAATAAAAACCCCAGTGGTGATTAAATACCACCAAAAGAAAAAGCTCTAGTTGTGTGAACAAAATGATAAAATTTTAGTTTGGGTACAGTGTTGCATGACCGTGCAATTGTCATTCATAGTGTGAGAGCTTATAGTGTGAGAGTGTGAGAGATTTAAAGGAAAATCATTTTTTTCCACCAAAGGAGAAAGTAATGGGAAATCCAGCTTTTTTGAGTTGTGACCCAACAAGAGGTAATGGTAAGGAATTTGCCTTACTTTGGGGAGATTTCCATCCACTTTCTGTATAGCCTTCAGCACAGGAGTTGAAGAAAAATCGTTTCAATGGGACTCAGTGGGGAGAGACAGACGAGAGAAATTTCTCTTAATGTGTTATAGAGCCTTGCCAAATGTTAGGCTACATTTCTTACTAGTTTTTGGCCCCACTGTACTCATTAGAGCAATTATCTGTTTTTAGCTCTGGTCAGGTTTTTCCTAAGGTCAGTGGTTGATTGCTCCTTTCTGCTTCTGGAGGAAGCCCAAAAAAAGAAGAGGAGGGTCAACTATACTGAGTTATGAATATTTATCAGACCCCAGACAATCCCTGGGAAGTGGGTACCCAGAAGGTGGCTGGAGAGGTGATAAATATTTGGGAGGCCTTTCCAGAGGTTCTTTCATTTCAGGGAGGGTACCAGTTCTCCTGCTCCTGAGAAGTAAATAGTTTGAAACAAGATTTGCAGTTTTGCTAAAGGACTTTTGCTTGAGGGCATTGTTCTGGAGGCATGCTTTGGAGAAAGATATTTTATCTCCCTCGCTGAAAAGGGAGAAGCTGGGTGGCAGACATTAAAGTGCCAGGGTCTACTGTATGAACTGGTCTCTTCAAGACCTAGTGTTAATGGCCATTTCCTATTCCCTCCTGTCAAGGATAATGCTGCAGGATTTGTGCTAAGAAATTATTCCTCTTTTTAACTTCTTGGCATTTTGGAGTATCCTACACCCTATCCCTCCCTCATGTTAACTTTTTCTATAATAAATTCACAAAAAGACATCCCCTAGACTAAGCCTGTATTGTCAGTGTGCATGAAACAGTGTATGTGGCAGGCAGACTCTGTACTAGCAAGGGAGATGTAGGTATAATCTCAGTGGCCCCTCCGGGGGGTGAATGCTACAGGATGAAGGTCTGCTTTAAGGTATCTTTTACTTAAAGCACAGAAAGTGGTTTTCTACAATTGGGTTCTCAGATAACTCCTTGGGAAACATATTGACAAACTAGTCCCTAAATACTGTATTTTAAATTTCAAGGAATTTGGAAGGGTGACATCAAGATAATTCTCATATGACAGAGAATAGGTGGAATAGGTGTTAAAAAACCATTAATTCACATTATCTCACTAATAAAAAGTTAATCTATGTTATCAAATGTATTATGTTTATTATGTTTCTTGGCACTTCTTTCAAACTGATATCAGTACTTCAGATGTTCCTTTAGATCTTTGCCCTTCAAATGATTCTTCCATGCGGCCTGAGAATGTCAAAAAACTTTGGTTAGAACTTAGAACTTTCATGTTAACATCTTCTCTTTACCCAATATTTTTAACTCTAAATCTTGTCTCCTGGGAGTAATTAATGGTTAGGTCTCTGGAAAAGATCCCAGAATTTGCTCATGCTTTTCTTTTTTTGTGCTTGAAGCCAATAATTGAAATATATTTAAAGCCAAAAACTGTGGGTGGACTGTAGAAGGTTGGAACCTATCAGATCTGTGTCCCCACTGGGGATGTTCACAATCCCTGTTCGACTTGGTGATCGTGGTCACCAGGGCAAAGCATGATGGGAATTACAAAAGCTTATAGTTACAATTGTTGGGATTGACTGAATATTGCCACAGCTTGAGTGTTCATTTGCTGACTCAACCTGCATCACTGTTGTTATTCCTGTTATGATCTCTACATCTCACTCATGTTTTGTTTGGAATTCTATCTCTTGGCTGCCATTTCGACTATCTTTCTGTGTTATCTATCTAAGGCACTGCATATCTCATGTCTCAGTCAGGGTTTCCTAGTCTGTCTACTTGTAGTAGTCTGCATTTCAGATCACTTGCATTCACTGGCAGTCCCATCCTAGTTTCACTGTTCTAGTGTGTCCTAGGCATTCATACCGTGTGGTACAAGTAAAATGTTCACGAAGTAGAAAGAATTGAGGGCAACTATGCATAAATGAGTATACAATATCTCACGGAAGTGAGTATACCCCTCGCATTTTTGTAAATATTTTATTATATCTTTTCATGTGACAACACTGAATAAATGACACTTTGCTACAATGTAAAGTAGTGAGCAGGGGCGGACTGACCATTTGGAAACTAGGGCACTGCCCGAGGGCCCAGGGTCAGTAGGGGGGCCCCCATGAGATGCCCCTGGTACCTTTTTCATAGGCTTTTTTGAGTTTGGGCAAGGACACAGGGGCCCCATAATCCCCTATTGACCGGGGGCCCCATGAGTTTGTCAGTCGGCCCCTGGTAGTGAGTGTACAGCTTGTATAACAGTGCAAATTTACTGTACCCTCAAAATAACTCAACACACAGCCATTAATGTCTAATCCGCTGGCAACAAAAGTGAGTATGACCCTAAGTGAAAATGTCCATATTGGGCCCAATTAGCCATTTTCCCTCTCCGGTGTCATGTGACTCATTAATGTTACAAGGTCTCAGGAGTGAATGGGGAGCAGGTGTGTTACATTTGGTGTTATTGCTCTCACTCTCTCATACTGGTCACTGGAAGTTCAACATGGCACCTCATGGCAAAGAACTCTCTTGAGGATCTGAAAAAAAGAATTGTTGCTCTACATAAAGATGGCCTAGGCTATAAGAAGAATACAAAGACCTTGAAACTGAGCTGCAGCACGGTGGCCAAGACTATACAGCAATTTAACAGGACAGGTTCTGCTGAGAACAGGCCTCACCATGGTTGATCAAAGAAGTTGAATGCACATGCTCAGCGTCATATCCAGAGGGTGTCTTTGGGAAATAGACGTATGAATGCTGCCAGCATTGCTGCAGAGGATGAAGGGGTGGGGGGTCAGCCTGTCAGTGCTCAGACCATACGCCGCACACTGCATCAATTTGGTCTGCATGGCTGTCATCCCGAAAGGAAGCTTCTTCTAAAGATGATGCACAAGAAAGCCCTCAAACAGTTTGCTGAAGACAAGCAGACTAAGGACATGGATTACTGGAACCATGTCCTGTGGTCTGATGAGACCAAAATAAACTTATTTGGTTCAGATGGTGTCAAGCGTGTGTGGCGGCAACCAGGTGAGGAGTACAAAGACAAATGTGTCTTGCCTACAGTCAAGCATAGTGGTGGGAGTGTCATGGTCTGGGGCTGCATGAGTGCTTCTGGCACTGGAGAGCCACAGTTTATTGAGGGAACCATGAATGCCAACATGTACTGTGACATACTGAAGCAGAACATGATCTCTCCCTTTGGAGACTGGGCCGCAGGGCAGTATTCCAACATGATAATGACGCCAAACACACCTCCAAGACCACCACTGCCTTGCTAAAGAAGCTGATGGTAAAGGTGATGGACTGGCCAAGCATGTCTCCAGACCTAAACCCTATTGAGCATCTGTGGGGCATCCTCAAATGGAAGGTGGAGGAGCACAAGGTCTCTAACATCCACCAGCTCTGTGATGTCATCATGGAAGAGTGCAAGAGGACTCCAGTGGCAACCTGTGAAGCTCTGGTGAACTCTGTGCCCAAGAGGGTTAAGGTAGTGCTGGAAAATAATGGTGGCCACACAAAATATTGACACTTTGGGCCCAATTTGGACATTTTCACTTAGGGGTGTACTCACTTTTGTTGCCAGCGGTTTAGACATTAATGGCTGTGTGTTGAGTTATTTTGAGGGGACAGCAAATTTACACTGTTATACAATCTGTACACTCACTACTTTACATTGTAGCAAAGTGTCATTTCTTCAGTGTTGTCACATGAAAAGATATAATAAAATACTTACAAAAATTTGAGGGGTGTACTCACTTCTGTGAGATACTGTAGGTAGTTTCTCCAAAAGTGGGCTGCTAAAAGAACCCTTCACCAGTTGGTTGGTACTGGGTCTTCCCCTTGTCCTCTTGTGTTTTAATTTTTCTGTCATTTCCAAGTTTTATATTCTGACTTTTTCACATAGCTCTATATATGGTTAGCACGTCTACCTAACAGCACTAGGGTCATTGGTTCAAGTCCCAACCATGACAATACCTGTCTGGAGTTTACATGTCTTCACTGTGCCTGTGTGGGTTTTTTCCGGGTTCTCCCATTTCCTTCCTCACTCCAAAGACATGCTGGTAGGTTAATGTCTCTTGTCTAATTTGGCTCAGGCATGTGAATGTATGAATGTGAGTTTGGGACCTTAGATTGTAAGCACCCTTGAGGGTTAGGGACTGATGTGGATGTACAATATAAGTGTAAAGCGTGGTGTAAACTTCATGGCGCTATATAAGTACCTTTAATAAATAAACGTATCTGCTGCTCATTGTTTATTTGCCTGAACCACTAGAGGCTCCAACTCTGCTATCACTAATCAACAACCCACTGTTGGTCACCACAGTAACACATATAAAATGTATGTTACTTTGATAGAGCTACTAAAAAAACTAGCACATTCCACTCTTCACCATTTCCTCCAAGCTAATGCTGTTTTCTTCTCGTTCTAGGTACCTTCACTGATTTGAGTTAGTTAATATCAACATTCTAATTGACGGTACTGCTAATTAAAGGTTCATCATGATTGTCTTATGTGAGAACATTCTGCAGTTTTACATTTACCCCTGGCAACTATGTAAATATTTCCTTTGTTAATTTAGTTTTAAATAAATACATAAGAGACTTTTCTGTTCCTTTGAAATGTTGTTAGAGTTTTGTGACTCTGTCATTACTCACACTTGGAGAACAGAACATAGTTTTGTGTCAGCACTTGCTTTGGTGTCTCCAACCACCCTTGTCTAGTGCTCTTCTGCATTCCAATAGTCGGGTGGACACTTGTAACCTACAAGTGTATTAGTACATACCAGAATTCAGTTAAATCTCAGGAATCAAACTTTTCTTCCCTGTCAGGAAGTGTGTTCACTAAGTACTAACTAACCATTGTTGTCAGCAGTAGACCACTGGTCAGTGCATTCTCTTGTTGGGTAGTGAGACTATGCATTATGGCAGTGGTGGGCAACCTTTTTTTTCAACTGAGCCAAATCTCGCCAAAACCACGATTGAAATTTATTTTGAGAGCCACATTTTTAAAACTGAAAATACATCTCCCATATAGTAATTCATCCCCCATAGTAATTCATCCCCCATATAGTAATTCATCCCCCATAGAGTAATTCATCCCCCATATAGTAATTCATCCCCCATAGTAATTCATCCCCCATATAGCAATTCATCCCCCATATAGTAATTCATCCCCCCATATAGTAATTCATCCCCCATATTAATTCATCCCCCATAGTAATTCATCCCCCATATAGTAATTCATCCCCCATAGTAATTCATCCCCCCATAGTAATTCATCCCCCATAGTAATTCATCCCCCATATATAGTAATTCATCCCCCATATAGTAATTCATCCCCCATATTAATTCATCCCCCATAGTAATTCATCCCCCATATAGTAATTCATCCCCCATAGTAATTCATCCCCCATAGTAATTCATCCCCCATATAGTAATTCATCCCCCATAGTAATTCATCCCCCCCATAGTAATTCATCTCCCATATAGTAATTCATCTCCCATATAGTAATTCATCCCCCATATAGTAATTCATCCCCCATATAGTAAGTCCCCCATATAGTAAGTCCCCCATATAGTAAGTCCCCCCCCATATAGTAAGTCCCCCCCATATAGTAAGTCCCCCATATAGTAATTCATCCCCCATATAGTAAGTCCCCCCCATATAGTAAGTCCCCCCATATAGTAAGTCCCCCATATAGTAATTCATCCCCCATATAGTAAGTCCCCCCTGTGTCAATTCACTTACCTTTGCTCCGCGCGTTCCTCTCGCCGTGCTTCCCGCGCCGTTCTGGTCTTCAGGGCGGACTGTGAGAGGAGAGGAGTTCGTCACGCTGCCCCGCCTACATCCTGACAGCTGCAGAGTCCTGACTTTTGGGGCGGGCCGCCCGAGAGGAGGGAGGGGAGCGGGCGGCCGTCCGAGAGGAGGGAGGGGAGGGGAGGGGAGGTGAGGGGGCGGCCGCCCTGCACACGCCCGTCCGAGAGGAGGGAGAGGAGGGAGGGGAGCGGGCGCCCGGCACACAGAAGAGCCACATTTAAGCTTGTAAAGAGCCGCATGTGGCTCGCGAGCCGCGGCTTGCCGACCACTGCATTATGGAAATCTTTCCAAGGTCTGAATAATGGCAACTTGCAAAGCTTTAGCAGTCTGCAACTGTTTCAATACACTGTATGTCATATGTTATTGAATGTGGCCATATTTCTTTGTTATCATTTAATCGTATCTTGCATCATATATATTTCTTCATCCTAAAGTGTTTCTTTACAGTAATGCATTCTATGTATTTGGGTAAAAAAAAAAAAACTTTCTGCATGCAGCTTATCCCTCATACTTACCTACTTACCTGAGCCAGATCTCAATCCAGTGCTATGCATGAGAGCAGAGACTCTCTCGGAGCTCTCACTCCTCATTGGCTCAGAGGCCGCCATTGGCTTTTGCTGCTGTCAATCACAGCCAGTGAGAAGGGAGGTGGGGGACAGGGCCGAGCTGCGCTTTGTGTGTCATTAGACACACAGAGAGGGATTTGAGAGTGAGCATGTACAAGGAGAAGGGGGAGAAGGGGGAGGAGGAGGAGGAAGATTTACAATCACTTTATACTCATGCCTGTTATGTCTAATTACAGTATAACACTTCCTTTTATGTATTTGCTCCCACAGAGGCAACTACAATAATACCAATGCATTCAGCTTCCATTTTTCCAGACCAATGACTTTCCTATGACAAGAACAATTAAATCTTCCCAGTATACATAGATGCAGTCACTTAACTGAAGCTCAAGGACTGAGGACATCATGACAAAAATTATCTTTTTTTAATTATACTGTTTCTTTTGACATAGCCATTGCACACAATGTAATGTCAGACTTTTGAAGGAAAAATGGAAAAAAGAGATCACCTTGAGGTGTCCACATCACAAACAGGTGGATGTTCCTACTGCCCTAGCATTTTTATTTGATATGTTTTATAGTAGAAAGTAGGAAAAAAATATCTGTTTCAACATTTTCTCTATTTTTTATTTATATAGTTATACAACAGTGGTTATTAAATAGAAATAGAAAATAGGAATTTAATATAAATAGAAATCTCTCAGAAACTGGAGGGTGAAAAATTTGGTGCAACTGTGCATAGAAACCAATCAGCTTCCAGGTTTTATTGTTAAAGCTTAATTGAACAAGTTTAGTTAGAAGCTGATTGACTGCACCAGATCTGAGTGCTCCAGTTTTAGTAAATCTCCCCTTAT